GCGAATATCGGCCACTCGAACAAACTTAGTCGGACCGAAACCAGCAACAACTTCATACGCCGGGCAATAAAGCATGAGTTCATCGGTCTGCCGTTCTGGAAGAAGAGTGACAGATGAGTTTTCACTTCGCGGCCGCTGATATCATATAGTGCAAAAATGCACCTCTTCTTCATCGGCCACGGTGAGAGCGAAGTGTTATTAGACATGGTCCTGACGAGACACGTCGACATAACACTCATTGTCATGTTCGCTGATTTGACAGAAGAATCCGCAGGCGTATCCGCACACCTCCCAGGGCTCAACGTTACTCGTGATGGTCTTCTGTCTCACTTCTCGTGTTCGTCTATGATCTTCTGCAAATCGACCCAGAAGTATTTCTTGGTTGCTACGCCAACCAGAGTGCGTAGTTGCAATTTCAGACTTAGCACCTCATCGCGTAAACTGTGAAGTAAGCTCTCCGCTCCAAACGGACCATCTATTGATCCTTTTGAGGCTACGTCAGTCACATTGTGAGACTCTGCAGACTCCCACAGATGCTCCTTTATTTGCTCGAGCGTCCCCTCCCTTCCGCAGGAACACACGAAACGCATCTGTCGAAGCAAACTTGGCTTTATCTCGATGAGATCAGTAGTGACTTTTTTTTTGCATTCGAGACAGAACGCCTTCAACCCTGCACCTTCTTCTTCCTCTTTATGAACAATTGCGCACCCAGTACAAAAGGCATGCCCGCATGCGCAGAGATACACTCGTGGAGAAAACATGTTGCAGGCATCACAAGGCGTCAAGCGACGGCCGAGACCGCCCAGCGGTTTTAGATGGACCCGACCGGGGCACAATGCAAAAGGTAGATCGCGCACGACCAGTTGGTCCTTCATCTCAATGAGGTCTGCAATCACTCTCCGTTTGCACTCGTTGCACATAACACGGAGTTGACCGTGTTCTTCCTGTTGAACGACAGCACATCCCACGCAATAGGCGTGCCCGCAGGCAGCAATATAGACACGTGGACAAAACATATTACATGCATCGCATGGTGTTAGTCGGCGGCCGACGCTGCCCACTTTTGAGTGGCTTTTTTCGGTTGAGGCAGGCATAGCGGCGCCAGGCAGGTGCTTGCTGGCCTACAACTGGAACAAACGAACGCTACGATCAGGCGGGAGTGTCATGTTTGTTGACACCGATGGCGACAATATGTCCCACATAATTATAATAATGACAATAAGTTAACTGTTAATTGTAGCCAATCATTCCCAAGCTGAAATAGGTATCTTAGTTGACTCGCTAACAAGTTGAAAGGTTTATTTTATGACTTTTCAAAACAAAAATTTCAAAACAGATGTTGGCCAGCATTTGCGGTTTGTGGATGGCCAGGTTTTTATAAGTGCGGTTAAAGAAGAGCCGCAACACGTAATATGTAGTTTCAAATAAATTAACAAGGGTACGTGTTGTTTGTATTCTATAAGTAACCAATGCTAACTCGGAAGTAATTACAGTAGGTGATTTTTGTTAAAAGCAATACACACAAAGGGAGAGAAAAACCCTGTGTTTTGCTAGGCTTTCATACAGTATTTAATCATGAATGCAGACAACACACGGCGGCACGCATCTCTCGAAAGCCTTTGTGAATATATCTTGAATATATGAATTGTTTTGACTCTAACGCTTCCATTCCTACAAATTTGTTAACAAATTATTAGAAATGACCATTGTTCTGTTATCGTTTCAAAATATATAGGAAATGATTTAGAATATCCACCACAGTAAAGAAGCTTCACCACATTAACGTACAAAAACATCACGGCACTGGCGTGCATCTCCAACAATACTTTCAATCTAACGACGATCGTGCATTTACGTTATTTAAAAAGAAACATCCTTCACAAGTATACATTTGCTGGGTAAACAGTTCCAAAAACCGTTGTTAGGCTAAAGCGAATAAACTCTTGTTAACTGTAGTAGGCTCAATGGTTACAGGAATTCGTAATGTTCCCCACGCAAGAAAATCACGATGAAGATCACCATGTCGCTGTTGAGCGCAGTCTGAAGAACTATTGTCGTTTACGATTTCATACCTGAGACATAGGCCATGCACCATGCGCCCGTGAAGCAGCTCGAAAGTTCTGGAAAGTTAAGTTGCTTTTTGCTTTGTGACAATTTCACCTTACAGCATACAGGAAGCTGAAGTTAGTTGTCACCACGGTATGGATTTGAAAGGTGCAAATAAATGCCTTATTGATGTATCCATCTAATCGCTTTGCAATGCGAACCGAATGGTCTTTTGCCCTGTCGCAATAGTGCATGGGACCGAACTGGGCCTATCCCAAATGTTGACATTTTAAAGAATGCATAAGAATACCATTTGTTTCGTAACAAGAGAGGAGCATTACTTGCAAAATTGATCACACCCCACTGAATCTGACGGAGATAGCCTCACACAGTGAAGATCCCTATCTTCGTTTAGTACTGCGATGTTTAAATTTTTCAAAGCAACACTAAACATTAGCATGGATTCCCATTTCTTGAGAATATCAATATCGCACTTACGCTCTAATCTTGTAATCAGATTTGTGTGCGTCGCGGCAGGGACGCTTCGTTGTATCAAAACAGATGAATAAGACAATACTGTGTGTATCCGATTCCGTGATTTCCCGAAACGAAGTTCAGGATATAGCGACAGCAACGTTTGCATTCCTTCGTTACTGCGTAAAGCACTATCAGGGTATTCAAGCGATCAGAAATCTCGATCGTAATCGAATACAGCGGAAGAGAGCAATAATCTGTCGACGGCCGTCATGGACTTTCAGCGCTCAAAAGAGTCAATTATTGACTAGGTTACACTTCGGGCGTGATCCAAGATAGGCAGCACAACAAACACTTAACCACAGCTTTAGAGAAGATATATACCGACCTATAACGTAGAACACCGCGAAACGAGTAGACTCTAAATCCTCCTTTAAATCGTCAAGGTTGTACTGATGGCAGTTTGATACGCAAGCGTGACGCCGCTAAATGTATTGTAACCCATGGCTAGCATATGGATAGCGCGAAGTTGACGTTGATTACCGTCTTTGTTTATGATTTATCCGTGTTCTGCAGACCATCGAAGCTCTCTGTGCCAATACAGTTACATATTTTTACTAAAGAATTTACTTTTTAATTATTAAGTATTTGTTAACTACCAATAAAATCAGAAGTGTGTGTGTGCACGCATGTTATTACCGATCGATTTACAGAAAGATCGGGTTGTGTTTACTAGTTGCAAAGATCGTGCTCAGCGCACGCAGTATATTGGCCACGCAGTATTTAGCAGGCCATGTCTTGCGTCTTGCTATCATGGTGCTCACATCGAAGTCTTTACTTGATGGTTCGGAATTAATTATACCTTATTTTCTCTTTTTTATTTATTTATTATCTTATTTATTTATTATATAGTCGCTGTTCTCAAACAGATAGCTTTGGTAGAGATTCGAATGCTAAATTATAGCTATTCGTGATAGAAAAGTTCCTCTTTTCAGTCAAGATGGGCATGAAAGTCCTGTCCTTGGATTTCAGTTGTCCACAATTTCAATCTATAATTATAGATTTACAAACAACTTCCCAATTAACATACCCATTTTCTGTGTGATGCCCCTTGCCTGCTACTTATTTTTGTATGAATGAATAAAATGTTCCAATGAACGAATTTCACGTCTTTTGTTCAAGAGGCGCATGCTGCAACTATCATATCTTGTAGCAAGTGCCTGCACACGAGATCTATTTATCCCGCACACTGATTATACAATGCCGATTAAACAGACGATTTCTAAAATTAAGTCGATTTTATCCAAACGTACTAGTCTAGATGCCATATTGGTTCTAGAAAATTCACATCTTAAAATCATCTAACACTTCCATGCAACGCGCGTAGCTCATTAAATACCAACGGTAGTAAACTTACAATATTAAAATTATCTAAATGACTTAGCACAATGTGTAGTAAATCTTATTAACTGTGAATAGAGTTCTTTTTGAATTCACTGGATGAGAAACGGTAAGCGAATCTAGGCTATGCATTAATAGCTCGAATAATTTCTATCTACGTAGTTTCCGCATTCAGACAATTGAGTTAGTGACGTTAGATCGCAAGCTCTGAGAGGACATCTACATAGAAAGCTGGCGGCGGTGGAAATCAGGTTTATGCTATCAGACAACGGGGTCGAAACGCATAAAACTATGGAAAATAAGGTAAAGATGCTCAACAAAATGGCTTTATGGAAATAAATCATTAGTTCGAATGGCATCGGATCCAATCGTTGATACAGGCGATTACAAAACGCATTATGGAAACTACCTTGGGCTACCTAATTAAGAAGCGTTCTATAAAACGACAACTGTAGGTGTTCGCAAAAAAGATAACCTTCAAGCCAAGATAAGCTAGCAATGATTTTACTAACGCGGTGTCGGATACACAGCAATAGCATTTTGACCGTAGTTTGGGAAAATATTTCCTATAGTTCAAGTTTTGTCCAGATGCCAAGCTACATTTTTCTGGTCAACCAGACTGAACGACTGTTACATTTAGATAGCCTGAATTGAAATACTGTAGTGACTGTAAGGTTCAATCGGCAATTGATCAAAATAAAAAAATTAATCAAAAAAAAAAAAAAGAGTCTATTCATCCTGCTTTCTATTGTAATGTATAACACAGGTGTGAGTTACTGCAATATATATACACCACAGCACTGGTAGGCTGGGAATTTTTTAGGTCTTTGCCGGATGCAGGTGTTGAGAAATTTCATAGAATGGTTATCACTAGAAATGAGCAATATATATATGAGAATATATTTACATTCACACAAATATTTCTAATAAGACGATAATACTAATAGTGCGCTTATAATAGTGAATAACATTATATATATATATATATATACATATGGCTTCGATTTTGTTTGTTTCGGTATCAAAGGTTGTCATTAAAGGACAGATTTTTTTTCGTATTTTAAACCTATTTATTAGGCAGCGCAATATTGTCGAATGTGACCATATATACATTTTTAAATTGTCAACTTTTTACATATGTAGCACCAAACGACAACGCGGTAAGCTCAACGTTAGTGATCGCAAATCGGGGTGTGTACGTCACCGACACGATTACGATGTTGAGGCAATACGCGAATAACAACGATGATTAAGAAAAACGGCAGTCAAGAACAAAAGCACGAAAAACGTCATCATCACTATCTCGAGCATAGGACAACGGCTGCGAACAACCGCAGTAGGCGACCGCTCGATTCCTTGCTCGGACGACCGTTCGATAAATAGGTTATAGCCACAACTACTTGGTCAGCTCGGTCTCCTCCTCGACAGCACATATGATCTCCTCGCGTCATCCTTACCCACGGCGATGACATTCAGCGGCGCTCCTACTCGACTTCCAATACAACTACCTCAGCCGTCGTCGCCGCTGCGGTCAGTACTGTTCTGCTTTCGATCGGACCCATCGGCAGCACAAGGCAGAAGCAGGCACCCGCTGCCCGCCGGCCTGGCTGACAGCTCTCTCAGCCGACTCGCCCGCCGTCCGCTGGTCGTGCGTTGTCCGTCTGCCTAGGTAGCAGCTATCTTCGCTATCGCATAACAGCCAGCGACGCCGCTCTCCCTCTCCATTGTGACACTCGCCCAGCAGCTACCCGCGCGCCCTCGAGCGGCTGATCCCGGCTGCTGTACTTGGGTAGTCTCGTGGCGCGCCTGCGACGGTGGTTCGCTGCTTGCTTGTCCTCAAGAAGCAACAGAAAGCCAGGTTAGTGCCTCAGCGGAGCACGACGCTACTTTCTGTGCGTTTTCCTGTCTGTGCGCTGCTGTTAATCCTGACGACGACGACTGCGGCTGGATAGTATTCAACGACAAGAAAGCTATTTGACGACTACAATAGTGCGTGCGAGCGCGTGAATATCTCCTGCTTCCTTCGTTGGAACAGCGAGTGCCACGACAGACTGTCGAAAGCGCTGTAGATTCTGACTTTCTCCGTCTTGTGTTAGGGGCTGGTCGCCGCTGCATGCGAGTACTAATAGAAGTGGAGAAGATTCGCAGGAGTAGCACCAGAGGCGCAAGTTGGGACAAATCAAACATCAGGATTTATTGTTTGAGTAATTTAGTGGCTTTATGATTAGGTTAGTGCGTTGTTGTTGGTCCAGCAAGCGTACCAGGGCTGAGCGAGTTTAGCCCGACGTCGCCCCGATTGTGACGACGTTGGCCGTCTTTTTCGTAGTCGGCTACGAAAAGTTGAGCATAAAACGCCGACGACCGACAAAGATAGTAGAAGCCAAGGAAGAGAAAAGCATCAAATTCGTTTGCCGGACGGATTGTGCTGTCTTGCGTGCAACAGTTGCGACCCCGAGGGAAGATTTTCTCAATCTGCGCTTTAAGTAAAGAGGCATACGCAGAAGTCCCTTATGATAAATGGTTTCCATCGAGCTTCCACTGATCTGGCGTTGCAAGAGCTTGTGTGGTAGGTCTTCTACACCCATCATGATTCTCGGACTCTAATTGATGTCATTAGTTGGTAATAGTACAATACTAAGTATTAAAATTAAACTGGGAGAAAGGCTTCAACAGGAGGCTTGGAAATTTCTAGCGGGACGAAACAGATAAATCGCCTGAGAATAGACGACGTCCGTAGAGCGTAACGGCAACAGTACTAATTCCCTAGTAGTATTCGAAAAACATGCTGAAGAGAACGACCATCATTTTGCGAACGCTTAAGAAACGTTAGGGCTACAGGTCACGCAAGGCTTCACTAGAGAAATTACGAAGTAAAATGACACTTGCATCTACCACAAATCAACCTCGTGCTCCTGTCGAGGGGAGGCACATTTACTATAGTTTACTATAGTGATGGTCGGGATTGTATTATGAAGGTGCCCCTTAACCTCCAAAAAAAAAAGTCTAGGAATCGTCTCTAAAAAGAGAACAATATAATTAAATTGCTCGGCGGCTATAACGGAAATGGAAAATCATCTTCAGATGGAAAAAATAAAAAGATAACAATGCAATTAAAAAAATCGAAATTTTATATAAAAGCCTTATGTTAGGTGTTTTTGTATCATTAAGCATAACAAAAAAAGCCATTGTTACTTGTTTAATTAAATGATTGTTTTTAGGAGCAGAAACTAGTAACAAAACAAACCCGCAACTTCGTTAACCTCAAGCAAAAGTTCTAGCTATTCTATTATTTGACTTGATTTTTTGCTGACTTAAATCCAATTTGTTGTTGCAATTTGATTTCTTAATAATCACACAGATTCACATTACTTGATAATATTCCCAAATTTTCAACAATGTTGGCGAAACGCAAATTTTATTTGATTATCATTTGCCTGCACCTGATACACCAAAACACACCGATAATCGTTTTAGTTTCCATGTAGCAATATTCTTACGGTTCTTGAAGTTCTGCCGAAAAGCAGGCTCGTCCTTCAAAGAGTAATTCATCCGACCTGTCGCGAATATCGGCCACTCGAACAAACTTACAATGCAAAAGGTAGATCGCGCACGACCAATTGGTCCTTCATCTCAATGAGGTTTGCAATCACTCTCCGTTTGCACTTGTTGCACATAACACGGAGTTGACCGTGTTCTTCCTGTTGAACGACAGCACATCCCACGCAATAGGCGTGTCCGCAGGCAGCAATATATAGACACGTGGACAAAACATTACATGCATCGCATGGTGTTAGTCGGCGGCCGACACTGTGTTCTTCCTGTTGAACGACAGCACATCCCACGCAATAGGCGTGTCCGCAGGCAGCAGTATATAGACACGTGGACAAAACATTACATGCATCGCATGGTGTTAGTCGGCGGCGGACACTTGTGTTCTTCCTATTGAACGACAGCATATCCCACGCAATAGGCGTGTCCACAGGCAGCAATATATAGAAGCATGAGTTCATCGGCCTGCCGTTCCGGAAGAAGACTGACAGATGAGTTCACTTGGCGGCCGCTGATATCATATAATGCAAAAATGCACCTCTTCTTCATCGGCCACGGTGAGAGCGACGTGTTATTAGACATGGTCCTGACGGACACGTCGACATAACACTCATTGTCATGTTCGCTGATTTGATAGAAGAATCCGCAGGCGTATCCGCACACCTCCCAGGGCTCAACGTTACTCGTGATGGTCTTCTGTCTCGACTCCTCGTGTTCGTCTATGATCTTCTGCAAATCGACCCAGAAGTATTTCCTGGTTGCTACGCCAACCAGAGTGCGTAGTTGCAATTTCAGACTTAGCACCTCATCGCGTAAACTGTGAAGTAAGCTCTCCGCTCCAAACGGACCATCTATTGATCCTTTTGAGGCTACGTCAGTCACATTGTGAGACTCTGCAGACTCCCACAGATGCTCCTTTATTTTCTCGAGCGTCCCCTCCCTTCCGCGGGAACACACGAAACGCATCTGTCGAAGCAAACTTGGCTTTATCTCGATGAGATCAGTAGTGACTTTTTTTTGCATTCGAGACAGAACGCCTTCAACCCTGCACCTTCTTCTCCTCTTTGATGAACAATTGCGCACCAGTACAGAAGGCATGCCCGCATGCGCAGAGATACACTCGTGGAGAAAACAT